TTCGCCCAAAACATTACCCTTAGGGACGACCACATTCTCAAAGCTCACTCCTCTCGTGTCGGACGCCCTCTGACCCAACATGTCTTCCTTACGTCCGGGCACTACACCCGCACTGTTCGCCTCAACGATCAAACCCGTGAAAGCCTTACTCGGGGGTGCTTTTGGGTCCGGATTAGTGCGCGCCAACACGAAGTACCAGTTGGCGACCCCTCCGTTAGTGATCCACATCTTCTGGCCATTGAGAACATAATCTCCGTCTTTATTCTGGACGGCCTTTGATGTAATGGATGCGACATCACTGCCAGCGCCCGGTTCTGTCGTACAATAGGCCGCACATAAGGCTTCCGAACCCGTCATTCGTCCCAAATATTGTCTTTTCTGGTCTTCATTACCAAACAGTATGACCGGCGCCTGAGCCAAACCCGTCGAGTTGATGGCCGACTGAATCCCAGTGCACCCATAGTTCAGACTCTCACCTCAATTCCAATCATTACTACTATTATCCAAATTTACAACCAATTTATCACAATATACTCACTTATAAGACAGGTATCAAACAGTGGCAGTCCTGCGCCCCCGTACTGTGAAGGGACCCCCAAATTTCGAAGGCCCACCTCCTGGGCCTGTTTGACGAGATCCCAGGGAAAGTCACCCGTTTGGTCGTAATGTGCGGCCCGAGGGATGATCTCCTCTTTGGCGAACTTTTGGGCCAATTCTTGCAATGATTTCTGCTCTGAAGTCAACTCAAAGTTAAAACCACTCGTCGTTTGACTGCTATTCAAACGTTTCAATACATTATATGTCAAACACTTTGGATTTCGTAATAAATTTAATTGTAAAACTCTTGGCACTAATGAACACATTTTTATTTAATTTATTTCTAAAACAAACTTATTTTACAGTATTATATCCATACAAATATGTTTTGGTTCGTAAAATGAATACTCTCTAAATAAAGTGCAGTTGTTTAGTAAAACGAGTATTGAATAGTTTGTACCAATGGTTGCAAGTGCGGCATAATTGACAAATTATTTTCCTCGTACTGTGTATTTCAATGTTTATATATTTCAATGATTTTGCGTAAATTAGTACTCAATTTGTAGTCAAATAAACTCAAATATAGGATAAAACTTGGACTTTAGAAGTAGTGCAATGGTTAGTACATTGTAAGGCCGTTCATAAGCTGCTAAATACAACTATCCCGATACTTATTCAATCCTTACAAAGTATGATATTTCATTTTTATTATCTAAGAATCTATATAACGTAGAATTATACGATTTATCAAGCTAGGTCATATATTCTGGTGTTAAATTAACTATCCTGCCTTTACATCAAAATTAATTTTATCCTTCAATATGACTGTCAAACTCACAGAATATTCTGATCCTTGTTGTTGTGATGCTTAACATTACTAATTATAGTGTATTTGTGGCATACAGTACAGTATTTGTTAAATGTTAGCCAATATATGCCGAACCGGTATTTCTAACTTGCGGCGGAAATGAACTTCATATATAAGTTAATGTTACTTATTAAAATACCCTACTCATCTACTCATCCATATTATGCCACTTCCCATCTCAATGGCAACTAGTGTGACCAGACGTCCAGCTTTGGGCTGGATTATCCAGTTTTTGCACATAGTGTCCAGTTTTGTAATTGATCTATTACAATGTAATGGATAGTATTGTCCAGTTTTAAAACTTGGATTAATTCTAATATTGTCTCTTTTCATACAATTGTCCAGTTTTAAACAAAATATTGGAAAAATATCTGGTCACACTAATGGCAACACCGAAACCTACTATTAATAATAGTCTATTATAACGAATGCTTTTTATGAAGTGCTACATAACTTAAGGATTAAATTATTTATAATTTACCATTTCTATGTTTTATGTATAAAGTTGGACAATATTGAGCATTTTAATTTTGAATAATTTAATTGGTTTAGTTCTATAAATATGATAAAAATTAATAAGATTAAAAAATTAATAATTAATAAATTATTGATAATTGGGGATTGTACAGTCTTTTTATTCTCACTATGGCCAAAACTAACCTATATCCATTATAACATATACTATATGTCATATAGGCTAGTTATGTAAATTTACATTGTGTATGTAGTACAGTATGATATTGACTATTGAAATGGTTGTACACTGTACAGTAATTAAAATTAAATTATATATAAATGATTAGCCAATCAATTACTATTATAATTTAATCGATACAATTAGGGCCCAACTTTTTAAAAGTTTCCCGGTGAATTTAAATTAGTGCCCAGGCTTGTTGGATAGCGTTAAGTTTCCGGATAAGTTACGGGAAACTTATAAAAGTTCAGTTAATGAGTATTCCATTCAATACTATTCTGTATTCTGGAGCTAATATCAGTACAGTATTTATTAAATTTTAACTCATTAGATATTATCAATACTATGTTACTGTATTCAAAATATCAATAATTTTAGAACTTGTAAACACATCTCAAAGAATTGTATCTGTACATATTGTATTTAAAAAATAATTGTATTATTTTATTATATATTTGAATTGTTATATTTGTCGGTCACTTACAGTTAGTTCAGTGCACGACGTCTTCAAATGAATTGAAATGGATTAATGTTTGATGTATTCATGTTTGTAATGCTTGTAAGAGAGATGGAGTGGTAATTGACTTCAGTATTAGTGAGCAGTATAGCAATACCAAACTGTAAACAACAACGCGTGTCATCCAAACACTCTATGATTATGACTGCAAATGATAATCTGTATTCACAATTGTCTCATCACTATTACTATTACTATTAATTGTAACTATAGTTGTATTCATTGTATTCATTACAGTATATTGATTACAGCAAAGGCTAACACTATTCACAGTTGACTCACACTCACTGTCAGAGTCCATGCATTTGACACACCATTGAGTCGTGTCTTCACTTACATCTCACTATCCATACACTCGTCCGGCATATCACACAATCACTGGTCACTCATGTCTTCATCTCATGGTAAGCACTAATGACACGACTGTCTCCAAGAGATGACAATATGCTAATTATAATGACTGTGA